TCCTGTAAAAAACATAAAAAATCGTTCTGATCCCAAACTTTTGACCGGTAGTGTATGTATGACTTATTTCTCAGTTTTGAGTGTGAAATGTTCATGTCATGTACATGTCTCATGAGACTCACCCAGGTGTACAACAGTGTAAAACAAGCAGCTTTGCAGGTGCTCCATCAGATAGGCTGTAAACGTTTGTATTCTGTAGGGGAGTCGTGGGTCATGTGACGGTCAGGTGTGTGTGTGTGTGTGTGTGTGTGTGTCATTCAGCTGTTTGGGTGGGTGTGCTGGGCTGATTGAGCCCCACTGTTTTACACAACCAGCCAGCGAAGTCCACCTCCTCCACCTCGGAGCGCTTAATAAACGTGTGATTCTGGAAAAGAGAGATCACACACACGTGTGTCACGACTGCGCTCGACTCAAACAACAGCACAGTGAGAGACTAGTATGGACTTTTATTCATATTTTGAATTAGTTTTTATTTGTATATTTTCTGTTTACTGGTAATCACTTGAATTTCAGTTACATTTTTAGTAATTTTTTATTTATTTATTTTTTATATACATCTATATAGTTTTTATTATTTTTTAATTTTTTTAAATTTATTAACTAATTTATTTAATTTTTTTAAATGAAAATAAATATTGCCTTAGCAACTAGCAGAAATAAAATAATTAAGATTATTTAAATATTTGAATTAAGATTTTTTTTTTTCATTTTAAGTATTTCAAGTAACAATTTTTTTTTTATGGTTTTAGTTTTATTTAACTATAACAACCCTGACACAAAATTGAGACCGTATTGTGAATCTGGTGTATAAAATAACACATCAATGCAGTACAAAACTGTAGAAAAACCAAAAAAAAACAATATGATTCTGCAAGAAAATTCATAGTGAATAATGACCAGCAAAACTTGATCTTATCCAGAATTGATTGGATTGTGAAAAGTGGGTTATAATTTGGTTGGCTGTTATTATTTCAAATCTTGGTTACTGTAATAATAATAATAATGGACACCGTTTGATCAAGAATATTTATTACAGTAAACAGGGTTCATTTTGATATTATATCATCAAACGAAAGAAATGTGCTCTCACCGTCAGCATCTTCAGGTCCGCTCGATCTGCAGGGTTTTTAATCAGACTAGAAGGAATATGCAAAGAAAAAAGGCTGAAATGATCATTTAGACACTAAAGCGCTACATTATAAACATAAACCTGTGAACACAATGTCCAAGATCTCAAATACATGTGAAAACACACCAAAGATGTGCTTTATTTCACCCACCGAGTAACAGAACTCACCATTTGGTCACAAAGTCCTGGAAATCAGGAGTGAAGACGCCGTGAGGGAGTTTAGGAGGCGGCTGAGGGATGACACGCATGTAAAAGTCTACATTATACATCATTAGTGACAGCATCAGATCTCATATTCAGTGCCTTCTATTAGTTTAGACACATAAAACAGACGTCAGTTTCAAGACAATAGATTTCATGCCGGCGGTTTTATTCTAAAAAAACATAAACGTGTGATTAAAAACAAAAGAGACTCACCTCATTGACTATATAATCTAGCAGCTCAAATATAGCCATGACGGGCCCGTGACCTGAAAGAGTCACATCAGTTACTGTTAATAAAGAGTAACTTCATGCATCTTCCTGAACAACCGGTACAACAGTGATCTGCAACCTTATACTGACACCTGCTGGCATTCAACATGATCTTATACAAGTAATATTCATTGCTTTAAATTTACACTTCCAGGAAAAAGTTTGGAATAATTAAGATATTTTAATGTTTTTGAATGAAGTCTCCAAGGCTGCATTTATTTTATCTAAAATACAGTAAAAACAGTGAAATATTTTTACAATTTAAAATAACTGTTTTCTATGTGAATATCTGTTAAACTGTAATTTATTTCTGTGATGCGCTGCTGGATTTTCAGCATCATTACTCCAGTCTTCAGTGTCACATGATCTTCAGAAATTATTCTAATATGCTGATTTGCTGCTCAAGAAACATTTCTGATTATTATCAATGTTGAAAACAGTCGTGCTGTTTGGGTTTGTGTACGATTAAAAAAAACAAAAAAAACAATGAATACTTTTATTCATCAAGGACACATTAAATTGATCAAAAGTGCCAAATAAATGCTGTTCTTTTGAACTTTCTATTCATCTGTGAATCCTGAAAAATAAAATGTATCACGTATGTATTCCACAAAAATATTGGGCAGCACAACTGTTTTCAACGCTGATAATCATCAGAAATGTTTTTTGAGCAGCAAATCAGCATATTAGAATGATTTCTGAAGATCATGTGACACTGAAGACTGGAGTAATGATGCTGAAAATACAGCTGCGCATCACAGAAATATATGTTACACTTTTGACCGGTAGTGTAAAACACAAACAATATTCTAATTTTTGCAGTTCCATTTAGGTGACGCTGTAGCACAGAAATTCCCCACTACTCCTTTAAGAAAATGTCCTCAGAGACTCCGACCAGCCCTGAAATTTAGCTGTCATCCATAAACGAATGCTTTCTCACGGCTGACGGGTCTGCCGGGGGGTCTGGGTCGAGCAGACGTACTGTGCGTCTCTGCCTTCCTAACATCCATCACTGCCCTGCCGAAGATGCCCTCCAGCTCCTTAGCATCGGGTGGAGGAATGGGATAACGGCCGATGGCCAGCTCCACCAGAGAGAGACCCATACTCCACACGTCTGACTGCACCGAGTAATGAGTGCCCTGCAACCTCTCCGGCTGAACACACACACACACACACACACGCACA